CATGGTGGAGCACACAGGAGGCAGAGGCAGGCAGACCTTTATGAGTTCAAGGCCAGCCTGGTCTACAGAGTGAGTTCCAGGACAACCAGAGGTACATTGAAAAATCCTGTCTTGAAGAAACCAAAGCAAACACAGCTGAAGTAGGCAAGAATGACAGTGAGGAGAACCTGGCTTCCTCTGGAGTCAGCTGTCGACTCAGACATTCAGCATCAATCACCAGGGGCCACAGATAAACATCCTCACAGACAAATCCTTTGCCCTGACTTAAATCAGACAGCAAATTCATCTGCAGGGAGTTAGTCTGATTACACAAGTTTCTCTTGTGGCTCACTGTGTCTTTTTCTTTCTTATAACACGGCTGTCATCCATCTTGTCATGCAGTCTCTGTTCAGTCTCCTGCTTCATACAATACCCTCCTTTCAGAAACTCTAGACTTGTCTTCAACTGCAGCCTGGCAGCAGGGGAAATTACATATCTCTGTTACTTACGTTTCCATAAGTATCTAATCTTCTTGAAACATTACTTTCTTCATATCTTCATCTTTCCCTGCTTTAAAATGTCAGTGATTTTCTGTTGTCAGGCAGACACGCTCCCAGACTGCTTGGCTACAGACTTATGGTCCTCTACCATCTGCTCCAATAAAGGATCTTTCAACTTCCCTGAGAACCTTCGGCTGGGACCTGGTGACGGGGTTGTTCTGTCTCCCAAACCTTTGCTTATTCCTAGCTCATAGGAAAAAAAGCAGCAACAACAACTGTGAGTGGTGGCACATGCCGGAAATCCCAGCACTTGGAGGCTGAGGCAGGAGGATTGAGAGGTTGAGGCTAGTACAGACTACATGATTAATTCCTTGCCAAAATCTAAAAACAAAACTATGACCATGTTTTGTCGTTAGGAAGGTTATGGAATCTTCTTGCCTTTGGATATTGGTGCTGCTTCCTAAGACAGTGCATGACTTCTGTTTAATAGCTATCGCTCTTAAGAATACTTAAAAAAAAAATCTGAACATTAGTTCTGTCTACCAGGCTAGAATGTGATAACTGGGCACAAGAGTGGTGAATGTCTGTAGCACACAGAAAGTGGTCACTACCACACCCTGCTATTGCTGTCTTCTCTCCACTGGGACCCCTGAAAATGTAGCTCTGTCCCAAGTTCATCTCTTCTGCATCATTTCTGACCAGAAAACACTGACTGATGAGACCCTTAGTAGCTTGACAGGTTCACATCCCTTACCTCATCTGTACCAAGGTGCAGCTTCCAAACCTACATCATTTCAAAGGGCATTTACAACACAGTCAAGCTCACTGGAACTGGGCTGTCATGGGGGTGGCTAACTCTGGGGCTGGGATCACCTGGGGATTCTGGGGACTCTGAAGAACAGCCCCTTTCTAACGCAGTTCCTGGCTTTGCCCTCTTAGACACCAAGGAGTTCTCTTGTCTAGTGGTAGCCATTCTCATCCTTTTCACACGCGAACAAGCTGTCCCATTTCTATTCCTCAACAGTTCCCCAGGTCTCATCTGTTCTTTATATTCCTTTTCCTGGACCTCTCCAGGAAGTGTGGGAAAGTGGTTGTCTCAGAGTTTGACAGAGATGAATTAATACTGTATTAATGTTAAAAAAAAAAAAAAAAAAAAAGAGAAAGCAGTAGCTGGTGGGTAGTCATTTGTAAACTACTAGGCTTATCACCACACTACTAGTACTAATGAATTTACTTTCTTAAACTCTAAAAGGGATTCCTTCTTCTTTGGGTGGGATCTTGATGGGGAGGAAATGGGGTAAAGCCTGGGAAAAAAGAAATAAGGGAGTTTAAGAAACACATGCCTGGACCTACCACTGAACTTCTTACTAAATTGGCTTGAAGAAGGTCTTGCCATTTTATTTTCTTTAAGATTTATTTATTTTTATGTCATGGGCATGAGTGTTGGTATATATGTATGTGTACCATGTGCATGTCTAGCACCTGTGGAAACCAGAAGAGGGCATCAGATTCCCTGGAACTAGAGTTCCAGATGGCTGTGGGCCACCATGTGGGTGCCGAGCCATCTCTCTAGCCGTTATATTTTCAAGTTAACAAATCCAAATGGAATAAAGGAAGTGCTTAGAAATAGATGGAGATTTCTTCTTAATGGGAAATGGTTCTGGAGAGATGGACTGATAATATTAGGAGTAAAGGCCCTTTATTAACTCTCATTTTGGCTAATTGCTATGTTCACAACTATTTAATCAACACAAGAGGACAATCAATTTTAATCTCCTAGCTAAAGCAGGCTAGAAATTCTGGCCAAAAGTAATATTGCACCCAGATTTCCAATTTTACCAAGTTTGTCCTTTTGCATCAGAACTCTTTTTCTGCAAGGTCTTTTAAATTAACACCTGGACAAGCTAAGACACTGCATGCCTTCAAGGGAGACGTCTCTAACTCCTAATTCATTACTTTCAAATATAAATTCATGATAAAATATGAATTAGCCTATCATGATTGATAGCTATGTCTGCAGCAAGCTTTAGAAATAGGTCTGCCTGGGCTGGGTATGTAGCTCAGCAGAACACATCTGCTAGCATGCATGAAGCCCCAGGCTAGATCGTCAGCACCCCTAAAATCTAAAAAATAACAAACATGTAAAAACTATCATAAAACAAAGATGAAAAGTCTGTCTATAGGAAACAGTGCTTGCTTTATTTAAACATCATGTGTCCAGCAAAGGGCTAAAAATCTCCCCGAATGCTCAAAATCAATAATTTTCACAGACACGAGCTGGGTAAGGGATAATGCAGAAGCACCCCCCCGGGGGAAGACATATTCTCTTCCTGTCAACTGATGACAAGTCTACCCCTCAGCCAAGAGAACACCTGCTGTGGAAACAGACTGGACTGAGTTCAGAAGAACCTTTCAGCTTCTCAACAACCAAGGCAAGTGGGAAAATTGTCCAGCTGAGGCGTGTTTTGGAAGCAGTGGTGTTCATTCAAGATATCTCATGCAAACAATAAGAAAACTGGGACAAACACTGGCTCTCTTACTTCTTCTCTAGTTATTGGCTCGTAAAGGCTAGAATGGTCCTATAGAAAACAGACAAGAAAAGTCCAATTCCCAAGGCCAGTGAGGTTAGGGCATTTACCTAAAGTGACAATGAAAACCACCAGGGAAGCAGCTGAGGCCTTGTCTTGATCACACCACACTACTTTGTCAATCACTCATGGAACATATTCAGTGCCAGGCTGGTGCTCTGATCACAGCCATGTGACTCCTGCTGTCTAGGCTGGGGCCTGCAGTGAGAATGTCTGAGTTCCCTGCTCTAGTCCAGGCTTTCCTGTATCTGTGCACTTGCACAGTTAGCAGTCAAGTCTCTCCTTCAGTCTCCTCCCCTAGTGCTGTCCAGACTTTGTGACCTGTCCTTCTCTTGCCCTGATACAGCCAGTGTTAAAGCAGAGCATGGAGGACTTAGTAGAGCTCCCATGAATCCAAGGTATCTAATTTCAATGCTGCTCAGACTCCTCATCTCTTCTTAAATTCTCTGACAACCTTACTATCAGACTTTTCAATCCTACGCTTGCATATTCCCACAGCATCTTCCATGCTGGGGCTATGGCTCTCTTTATGAATATAACCAACCATGTCATTTCATCCTCAAGCCTTCAGCACCCTGTCACTGTTGTGAGCAATGCCTGGGCATCTCTCTGGCCTCCTCATCTGTCCTTGGTCTGGGATGCTCCAGCCACACAAGTTCCTCATATATTCTAGGTTTGTCTTTACTGCTGATTTTGGACTCACAGTTTGTGTCCTTGTGTGTTAATTTTCTATCAGCTTGGCATAAGCTAGCGATCTCTGAGGATATGGAAGCTCCACTGAGAAAGTCACCTTATCAGATTGGCCATAGGGAAGTCTGTGGGTGGTGCCATTGCTGGGCTGGTGGTCCTGGGTTGTATAAGAAAGCAGACTGAGGGGCTGGAGAGATGGCTCAGAGGATAAGAGCACTGGCTGCTCTTCCAGAGGTTCTAAGTTCAATTCTCAGCCAACCACATGTTGGCTACCATCTATAATGAAATCCGGTGTCCTCTTATGATCTGCAGACATACATGCAGGCAGAATACTGTATACATAATAAATAAATCTTAAAAAAAAAAAAAGAAAGAAAAGAAAAGCAGACTGAGTAAGCCATGGAGAGTAACCAGTAAGAACATTCCTCCGTGGCCTCTGCTTCAGTTCCTGCCTGTATGTTTCTGCCTTGGTTTCCTCTGATGATGAGTTATAACCTGCACGCTCACTATATCCTTTCCTGTATTACTGCTTTTGGTCATGGTGTTAGCATAGTGATATATATATATTTTTTTAATTGCTGACTGAATAAGTCCTTACCCCAAATTCTCAAAATCATGTTTCACTGGATGCTGTCCTTGGTTCACAGTTCTATTATATGTAAGACCCTCCTGAGGAAATCTCTCTAGCTCTCATGGTTTTAAGCCTCATGGTGTCAGTGATGATTACCAAACCTGGCTCAGAGCTCCAAGGGAGACTTGGATACAGAGCTGCCAGTTATTATAAATTCAAGACGTTATAGCTGGACAACGATAGCTCACGCCTTTAATTCCAGCACTATGGAGGCAGAAGCACATGAATCTCAGTGAGTTCCAGGCCAGCCTGGTCTACAGAGTGAGTTCCAGGATAACCAGAGAAACCCAGTCTCAAAAACCAACCAACAAAACAAACATAAGAGATCTTTGAGAGAACTCTAACTTCCTGTTCAAATTAGCTTCTTTTATACTTCTCAATCCATGCCTGATACCACCTTTATCTGAACAAGAAACCTGGGCTTATTCTGCACTTCTCCCTGTTCTTTGCCCACTGCTCATTATTTTCCTGTCTCTGCACCTCAGGTATGAGAGATGTATTCACTGTTACCTACAGTGAATGGTTCATGGCATTCTCTCATTATTGTTGTTGTCTTTGCAATAGCCAGACGTTGCTATGGTTTCATTCCGCCCTGCATCCAAGGCCACCTACCTCCCCGTCTTTGAAGCGCTTCTTTAGCTGTCTCTGCATGGCAGCCAGCTTCTTGGACTGCACTCCGCTGTAGGCCAACAGCATGCCACCAAACTGCCTCTCAGTGATTCTCCCATCCACTGGGTCATGGCGTTCAAACTGGGTGGGAAACAGACAGAGTATTTTTGGAGTTAAATGGAAGGTATTTTGACATGGACTGCAGAACCATCAATTATATTTGATGAAAGAAATTAAATTGGGCCTCAGTATCTCACAGATAAACCAGAACTGCTTATATACATGTATGAAATTATCACGATAGAAAAATCATGACAGATATCAATATGTGCTAATACTAATAAAAATGGACAACAAAACCCAGAGCAGCTTAAGTTCCTCACCTCCCACAGGTCAGGTCAGGAGCTGCCTTGAGAGGATGGGACCAATTTTAAAACTCTAAATATATTCACATTTTTTTTCTTTTTTCTTTCTTTCCTTTTTTTTAAAGACAGGCTTTCACTATATAGTCCTGGCTGTCCTGGAACTCACTCTGTAGACCAGGCTGGTCTCAAACTAACAGAGATCCACCTGCCTCCTGAGTGCTAGGATTAAAGATATGCACCACTATGGCCGATTTGTATGCATGCATCTCTTTTAAATGCATATTTTAAAGCTCTATTGATAATTTAATATTCAGTTACCATTTTCCAGAAAGCTTGTAAATACATTACTCTGCATATCTTTAATCCTAGCACTCAGGAGGCAGGTGGATGATCTCTGTTAGTTTGAGACCAGCCTGGTCTACAGAGTGAGTTCCAGGACAGCCAGGGACACACAGAGAAACCCTGTCTCGAAAAACAAAACACAAAAAACAAACAAACAAAAAAATGCATACAGCAGAAAATGCATTAAGTAAGTAGACTTGGGAAAATCATTAGAGATATTTAAATATGCAGATGAAAAAGCTATAAGAACTGTCCTGTAATAGGAACTCTTTACTGAGCATGTGCCGCACCCAGGCAGCACACATATACCTTCTTTAATTTCATCTCCACTAGGGTGATGGAGCTTATTAGCTCCACTTTGCAGGTAAGAAAGCTGAGGCAATGTGCAAGTACATGTGACTAAACTGGGTGTGCAAATGCAGCCCATCTGGGTTCACACCATTTCCTATTTGTCAGTAACCTTCAGGACAGTACCCTGTCATTTTAAATAAGCTAGAACAGCCAGGGGTGGGGGTGGGGAGCGGGCTGAGAGCCATACTTAAGTGAAAGCAAAGTTATTTGCAGAGGAATCAACATCATCAATATTGAGTGAAAGTCTCCTTCCCCACGCAGGCCCTCAGTATTTTACATTTGTCACTCCATCACTTCCAAAGAATTGATTAATTTCTGACAAAACCCAAAGTTTTGGGATTCAATTTAAGTTTGATTTATGGCTCAATTTACCATCCTGAAAGAAAACAGAGGAACTGATAAAAATTGTGCAAGTGAGCAACTTTCTGCACTGTTTACACCAGGCAGATCTGTTTCTAGTAGGCTTAAATGCCTGAGTCAGAGTTGGTGGTATAGAACTCATTTATAGGCAGATCCTAAGACAGAGCTAAGGCCCTGTTCTCCAGGCTGGCCATTAAGATCCGGACATTCATACTCCCTTTCCTGGAATTCTCCATGCTGGGGGAAACCTCACACCTTAGCATTTCAGTGCTCTGAGGTGCAGCAGACTTGAAGTTGAAATGCTTCTAGTTTGTAACCAGACAACAGTTGGCCTCCTAAAGGTTCATGAAAGGCCTTCAGTTTTCACCTTCCAGAGGGTGAAACACCTCTGTTTCGTTTCACTAGCAGTTTCCAGGAGAGATCCTCAAGGAGCCAAACTTGGCTTTGGCAACATGTTCCATTATTAGAACATGTTGTGAAGTGAAAAGGTTTAGCCACTAACATTTATCCTTTCTGCATAGTCTGGCCCATGGCAGAGCCCAGGGCTTTAGCTCTATGATTTGCCTTGGGCATCACCTCTCTTCTGAGCCTAATGGGTCTTCTGGGGCAAACCTACCTACCTAATGAGTTTTTTTTCACATTGCAGGGGATCAGGAAATATGGTGGTGGAGGAGGGTATTTTACATACTAAGTATTTTACACTACTAAGGTTTGGGAGTTTTGAAGATCAAGTTTCACTAACTTGAAATGTCAAGGGCTGTAGACAGATGTTACATGGCTGTACAGATCATTTGTGTAATTATTTTTCAACAGAGTCTCACTATACAGCCCAAATTGGCCCCAGACTCATGATCCTGTTGCCTAAGCTCTCCAAGTGAGCCATGCCTGGCTCCCATCTTGCATCTTCAGTTTTGACAATCCTGCAGGTATGCACTTGGAGTGCTATAGGCATGTAATCAATCCTCAAGGTCAAGGAAGGGCCTCAAGGAGAGACTCTGGTTATCACAATGCAGGAAACATCTGTGTATCTGAAAGTGGTCTCAGTCACTGGCTTGCTCTGATATAGCAAACACATGTTCACTAAGGTTCCACTTAGGTGACAATTAAGGAATTCCATTCTAGTTAGTTCTGTGGCAAAGAACCTGTATGGCCCAGCATACAGCTCACTGTTCTGCTTCTCTGTGTTTCAAAGGCTGTTGAACAGCTTAGCATTTCCCCTCTGTAGCTGCAACCACATTCTCAAATGCATACTAACTATCTCCTTGCTGATCCCCAGAGGGGTGCAGGCAGGCAAGAAAGGGCCAGGAAAGAAGCCAGCAAATGTTAAGATTCTTCCTGGATTTCCATACACAGTGCTTTTGTTCCCAACCCTGCTCTTTGCTGAGAAAAAGAAAAGAAATAGCCTTTTGGAAGAACAGATGGTTTACATTTATCTATATGAAATGATCTGAGGAAGATAAAAAGCTATGGGAGAGAAGAAAATGTTTTATTACAAGGGAAAAAAAGATTGAAAAATAGTAAAAGGAGGAAGAAGTCAGTATCTGGATGTGGGTCATCATTTAGCAAAGATTTTGGGCATTACTACACTCTGGGAAGTGTAAAGCTGACCACATTCTTCCACAGGGTGACAGCCTCTGAGGACACTTGTCCAGCCCCCAGACAAATTCTTCTCTTACACAAGCATTTTAGAATGACAACCTTCCAGAGATGACTTTTCTAGCTTCTGAATTGCATAGTGCAAGACTGTCTCCAGCCACTGAGCTACATACCTCTATGCTTTTCAATGGGACAGCATGGGGTTTCTCTGTCACCATTATTCCTGCCAGAAGTTTCATACTATTAGGTTCATGAAAAAGATAATGGATTACAGGCGCCATTCCCCATGGGACCCCTCCTCTTCCAGGAAGCACTCCATATTTCAAAGTTTAGTTGAAATCTGTTTCTGTAACTGGATGGGCATCTCTAAACATAAGAGGATCTTCACAGCAAGTTAAGGAAGAAGGCCTACAGTGTGGAATGGAGGTAGCATAGCTCTGTGCTCAGCAAGGGCTGGCACAATTCATCAGACTCTGACCATGAGATTACAGAATATTAACTAAACCACTAGGTTTCTTGCCTTTGTGGCGCTGGGTCCTTTTGCATGTTGGGCAATGAATTGTCCCGAGTGACATACCAGTCTCAATGACTATACTTTTCAATTCCAAACCTAAAGATTTCTTACAGTTTAAGACTGGGTTAGATGAACCCACAAGTGGTGGTGAATACATTTAATCCCGTGTGGCTGGGCATGGTGGTGCACGCCTGTAATCTCAGTGCTGGGAGGGCCGAGGCAGGTGGGTTCTGCAGCCAGCTGGCCTACCTACTGTCCAGGGTAAAAATCTTGTTTTTTTTTTTTTTTTTTAGATCCTTGTTTCGTTTTGCCTGGGAAAGGTGGTATGCACCTATAATTCTAGCTATTTGGGAGGCTGAGGTGGGAAAATCATTGAGCCAGATCTGCCAGATCTGCCCCAGTGAATCAAAAAGAAGGAAGTTCGGGCTGTGATCAAATCAGGTGGCCAAATCATGAGTCCCAGTCATAGAGCCAGACCAGGAATGGGGCTAACCTTTTGATCTGAGAGCCCCATGTGGTATAGAGACATACACCCAGGTAAAACACCCACACATAACAAAAATAGGAACAGTGATATTTAATACAAGATAAAATGTTTGCCCTTTGTTAATATATGGTAATTTTTGTTCAGTTTGCCCATCTTTTAACTTTATGTTTATTTTATGTATGAAATCTTCGTTACAGCTAGACATATAGTTATTTTTTTTAAAACTAGTTATGCCTAAGAACATATTCACTTGTAGTTTTGATATATTTTTTTGTTTGAGACAAAGTCTGGCTATCTTGCCCAACCTTTCCTTGAACTCTATGTAGACCATGCTGGTCTTGATCTTTCAATCCTCCTGTCTCATACCTGGAATGCAAGGATTATAGGTGTGACCCACTAGGCCTAACTCAAGATTTCTGTATTTTAAATATGGAATCATCACCTAAAATATTAAAAGATACTTAAGTGTAGCACTTAATGACAGTGATTAACTCCTCAGAGATAAAGAGCACATCACACCTCATGGCCCTGATGTCACATGGCTGGCATTTGGAACCTGAGGCAAGAAGATCCAGACTTCCAGGCTAACTTTGGCTATATGGGCTACATAAAAAGACCCTGTCCTAAAAAAGAAAGCAACAACAGTAACCAAGGTGTGATGGAGGTTGCCCTTCTGTATTATGTTTCTCTTATTGGTTGATGAATAAAACACTGATTGGCCAGGCAGGAAGATAGGCAGGGCTATCAGACTAGGAGAATTCTGGGAAGTGTAGGCAGACAGTAGTTGTCAAGTAGAACCCCAGAAGAGAGTATGCTCCAGGTGTCCTCTGGTAAGCCAAGAACACATGGACATATATAGATTAGTAGAAATGGGTTACTAATAAAGACAGAGCTAGCCAATAAGAAGCCCTAGCCACTGGTCAACAGTTTTATAATTACTATAGCATTTGGGGCAAGGCGGTTGTGGAACCGGGTGGGAAATGCATCTACAAAGGTGGCAGGAAGGAAGGCTGGTAATGTGGCTCAGCAGACAGAGTGCTTGCCTAGCACACATGAAGCCCTGGGTTCGGGCCCTGGGTTATCACATATGGATGTGATAACATATGTGGTACCTATTATTGCAGCA